TTTTGCCAAAGGCCTTTTCTGAATCAATCCTTGAGTATCTTATTCTCTTTAGACTTCCAGTAACTTGACTTGTCAAATCAGGGCCAACTCAGCTGACCTGCCAAAGAGTTTTTGAGGCTGTAAATTATACAGGAGAAGTTTGTAAATTTTTCTCCCTTTGGACATCGGATGGACTTGAACTACTAGGCAGGTGCAGCCTTTGAGTTAGCAGCACAACTCCCTCCAGACCAGAGGCCACCAGATCTTCCAGTGCTTAGATTATTGTTCATCTCACTAGGAAACACTAAGATGAGAACTTGTGTCTGATTCGGGCCACAGTCTTTCCAATTACTTGCTATACATCTGAGAGCTAGAAAATTATAATGGCAGAAAAAGAACTGACACCTTTGAGCTGTGGTGTTGGAGAAGAGCACTGAACATCCCATGGATGGCCAAGAGAATAGATATGTCTTGGAGAGGGTGCAGCCAGAGTGTTCTTTGGAGACAAGAATAATGAGGCTTTGCCTCACATACTTGGGACATGTTGCTAGGAGGCACTATTCTTTGGAGAGGGACATGATGTTGGAAAAGTGGAGGGTCAGCAAAGGAGAGGAAGACCCTCAACCAGGTTGACTGACACAGTGACTGCTGTAGTGGGCTCCTGTGTGTGTTAAGAAGTGTGAGGATGGCAAAAGATCAAACAGGTTTCAGATCTTTTGTTAACAGAGTTGCTATGAGCCGTATGCAACTCAATGCCACCTAGCAATAACAACGTCACATGGGGAAACGACAATCTCTTCAACAAGTGGTGCTGACAAAACTGGACTACTCTCTGCAGAAAACTGAAAGAGGAATCATCTCACACCTTACACAAAAATTAACTCAACTCCTTTTCGAGCAGGTAAGACTACCACAAACATGGTCAACGTTCTGAAAACTCACCGGACTTTCTACAAGAAGTGTGGCAAGCACCAGTCCCACAAAGTGACACAGGACAAGAAGAGCAAAGACTCTGTATGCCCAGGGAAAGTGGCATTACGATAGGAAGCAAAGTGGCTAGGAAGCACAGACCAAGCCAGTTTTCTGGAAAAGGGTGAAAACTACAAAGAAGATTGTGTTATGACCTGAATGTGTTGAGCCAAACTGCAGATCTAAAAGAATGCTGGCTATCAAAAGATACAAGCACTTTGAACTGGAAGGAGATAAGAAGAACAAGGGTCAAGTGATCCAGATCTAAGCTTCATCCAATTTTCTCAAGACAATAAACTCATGAGATTTTCATGTTCAAAAAAAGAAAGGGAAAAAAAAAAAGAGAGAGAGAAGAGACCTAGGGGTAAAGCCCCAAACCATAAGGATCCGAAGAGACAAAGTGGGGCCAAGCTTAGAAGGTCTAGCCTATGGTAGAAAGAGGCTGACAAAAACAACCAGAAATATACAACCAGGAGAAGATAAAATTAATGAATTGATGATTTCTAAAGATTAAATTCCTTTGCACATCAAAAACTTTTTCCAAGAGGATGACAAAAAAACCTAGTGACTGGAGGGGAAAAAACAAAACATTTAGCAATACCATTTCAGACAAGGATCTCATAACAAATGTTAACAGACTACTACAGGGCCTCCACAAGAAAAAGACTGGTAATCCAATTACAAAATGGGCAAAAGACATGGAAAGACTTTTCACAGAGGAAGACATTTGGATGGTCAACAGACAAATGAAGAAATGCTCAAAATCACCTGCAATAAGAAAGATGCAAATCAAAACCACAATGAGATATCATCTCACTAAAGTAGCAGTGGAAACAGAAGAGCAAGTAATAAATGTTGAAGAGGATGTGGCAAGATAAGAACTCTAAGAACTCTTTGTTGGTGGAACTGTAAAATAGTACAACTACTCTGGAAGGCAATTTGCCATACCTCAAAAAGCTGAACATAAAGTGCAACAATGAATGAATGGAAATCCAAAGTCTTTGTAAACTTTCATTAAAATGAAATGTTAAAAAAAAATTTAAAAAAAAAAAGCTAAGCATAAACATTCCATATGACCCAGCTATTCCACTGCTAGGAATATACCCCAAGAAAATTACAACTGAGACACAAATGGACATTTGTATACCAAATGTCATAGCAGCATTATTCATAATCACAAGAACATGGAATAGACCGAATGTCCAACCACAATAGAATTGATTGAGAAATTGTGGTACATTCACACAATGGAATACTACGTAGCACACAGGAGCAACAATTCTGAAAATTATAACTTGGGAGAGACTGGTAAACATTATGCTGACAGAACTAACTCAGTCTTATAAGGACAAATACTAAGACCATTATTGTAAAAACAGGATAACTAGTAAAGCGGGTAAGTGGTGGGAACAGAGGGGTGAGGATGGGCAGGGAGGATATCATAGGGTCTCACAGTTTGGTGGACTGGGGGATAAAGGAAATGTGAAAGATCTGGCAGGGACCTGCAAAGACGGTGTAATGATGGGTATGATTAAGTTAATAAAACACAATGTATAGGAATGATTGTACGAAACACAATGTGAATGAAGGAAAGTATGAAACACAATGTAAACAATTTTGAAAGCAAACCAATATACAATAAATAGTCATGTAAAAAAAGTGACTGCAGCCATGGACTTGAGTGTGTCAGCTTGTGAGGATGGCATAAGGTAGGACAGGGTTCAGATCTGTTGTTCACAGGTTCGCTATGAACTCAACTCAATGGGACCTAACAAGAAGTCTTCCAGATTATAATTGGAGGCTGTTGTTAGGTACAATCAAGCTGGCTACATCTCACAGTGACCCTATGGTCAAAACCTACCCTTATCCTGCAGCATCCTCAGACCCCCCATATGCTCAAGCCTATGGTCACTGTTGTCAATCCTTCTCTTAGAGGGCCTTCCTCTCTCTGACCTCCAACCTTTCCCAGCACCCCTTTTCCCCAAAGACCGTCTCTTCCTGACAGCATGCCCCAATTATACAAGATGAAGCTTCACCATCCTTACCTCTAAGCAGGACCCTGGTTGCAATTCTTCCAAGACAAACTTGTTTGTTCTTTGGCAGTCCGTAGGATATTCAGTACTCTTCTCCATCACATTTCAGAGGCATAAATTCTTCTTCTTGTCATTCTTACTCATTGTCCAACTTTCAGATGCACTGGAAGCATAAAAAATACTATGCCTTGGATCAGGCACAATTTATTCTTAAGACTGACATTATTGCTCTTTAGCACTCTGGAGAGGTCTTTGACAGCAGATTTTTCCCAATGCAGCACATTTTTTTGCTGTTACTATGGATGTTGATAGTGGATTGAAGTGAAAAAAGAAATTGTAACAGACTAGTCTTTTCTCCACCTATCATGATGCTGCCTATCGGTCAAATGGTGAAGCTTTGTTTCCTTGATGTTGAGAAGTAATTTATTGAAGGCTGTCTTCTTTGATCTTCTGCAGCAAGTGTTTCAAGTCATCTTCACTTTCTACAACCAAAGTTGTGCTATTTGCATAATGCAGGTTGTTGAGAAGTCTTCTTCTCATTCTGATGCTATGTTCTTCTTCATATAGTTCAAATTCTTAAATGATTTGCACAGCATACATACTGAATATATATGGAGAAAGGATACAATATTTTCCTGATTTTAAACCATACAGTGTTCTGTTTGGCCAACTGCTTCTTAGTCTATGGAGGAGTTTCGCATAAACACAATTGTTCTGAGATTCCCACTATTTTCACTGTTATTTGTTATGATCCACACAATACTTTGTACAATCAATAAAATACATGTAAGCACCTTTTTGGTATTCTTTCAATCAGGATCCATCTACCATCCCTTGTGCCAAAGCCTCTTCTGAATCCAGCTTGCATCTCTGGCAGTTCTCTGTCAATGTAGTCAAAGCAAGTGGTATAGCCATCAGTAAGATTTTGATTCCTGTACACTTGTTCTCAGTTTCTTCAGCTTCAATTTGAACTTGCAAAACAAGTAAGTGAAGGTCTGTTCCACAGTTAACTCCTTGTCTTGTTTTGACTGGGGACACTGAGCTTTTCCATTAACTTTCCAAAGGTAAGGTCTTTCTGATTCCTGTGTAGTCCATCAAGTGAGATACAAGTGTGTAGTTTATATTTTTAAGAAGGTATTTTTAACACATTGCTGCACACTTTTTAAATTGACTACCGTGCTTAGAAACACATTTGCAGCAACATGTTATAAATCCGACTGTACCAAATCTGTCACTCGATCTCCAGCCTAATTTCTGTCAAGTCCCTATTTTCCAATTACCAGTTTCTAGCTTTGACATTCACAAATATTATTAATGATTCTCAATGACATGTCCCATCAGTTTAAGACTGCAAAAGCTAGTTAAGGTCTTCAATTTCTTCATCTTTGGTTTTAGTGGCTGGTGCATTGTATTTGAATCAGGAGATTATGCGTACCAGCTTAAAACTGGTGGTCATACTGAACATTACTAGTCCTGTTAGTACCTTTTTTATGGTTCAACTTTATCTCTATCTCTGCATAGCAACTAGAGTTACACATGTGTTCAAGCACCCTCTCCCCAGGAGTACTTTGACACTTCTCTTCCAGGAGTTCTCTCTCTCCTCCTGATCATCTAATCCCTGTGCATGCCCCGTGCGTAGCTTTAGAAAGCAGTGTTCAAATCCAGTTGTCTGGAGCCCTCCTGTGGGGGTCCATGCCCCTCTTCATCTCAGCATCACTGATGTCTAGAAACTCTGAGATGCTGTGGCTCTGTAAAGAATAAATGACTACGTGCCAAGTACAAGCTCCCTTGGAGCAGATGCTGGTGAGTAACATTTACATTATGAAATCTGTAAGACTATCAAGGATATCCCACAGGGGGAAACAGTATTCATTTCTGAAATCACCAACTGAGTATTCAAATAGTTTATTTGCATGATTAAGAATCACATTTTCTGCAGTGCATAAAGCATCTGAGAACATTATTTTGGGTAAAAAGTAGGATTCCCTCCAGAGAGACCCATCCCCTCAGTTCAGGTGTTCAAATGTCCACCATGTCGAGCAAAGCAGAGAGATGGAACTCGGATGTGACCTCCTCTTCCCTTGAGCTCTGGAGAAGCCTCTCCAGGTGCTTCAGCCGATCAGTGAGAGATGAGCCCACTGCTTCAGATGACTGTAGGTGCTCTGCTGTCCTTCTAGTCTATTTGAAATAAAAAGAAACAAAAAGTAGCTTCTAGAAAACAATAAACAAAGACCTATTTTCTATGCAAATGGTTTACAAGTAGAAACCTCTGGGTCCACTCATTTTGACTTTTACCATGCATCTGCCTGCCTTCACCACATCATTCAAGAAATGGTGCCATCTGCACACGAGCCGTTTCTTTTCATACCCACCATGATCAAGTTCCAATAAACTATGATGGCCAATGACTACATACTCTTCTATTACATCAATCTACTGTAATTATTTTTCCAGACTCTTGTTTTGGCTATTTAGCCTGCTTCCATCTTGGAACTATTTTATATGCTGATTTTTGTTAATATTTGATTTCTCTAAAGAAAAACTGGTTAGTCAAAGAACATAAGCATCCTTAAGGTATGTGAAGAGTGTGAACAGTATGTCACTGTAATTTGCTTTTCTCCCTACTGATTGCAGGGGTTTCCCACACCAAGTCCAGGGTTCACCTCATACCTGCCCAGCAGCACAGATCTGCAATAACTATCTGTTTGCTCCTTTCACCCCTGAGGGGAGGATGAGGAGGTATGAGACACTGAGCTTTGGTATCAGTTGGGCTAGCTTTGCAGAGCAGTCCTGAACTGACCCGCTGCAGTGTTCAGGAGGCCCCTCTACTCTGTGAGCTGAACCTCCTCACACCACACATGAAGGCAGGCCTAGAGGAAGCCACAGGCAAGGCAGGCTGCCTCCCACAAACAAGGCCTCGATGCGCTCAGCAAAGGATGACGATTCTGCTCAGCCCTCAAGTATGTTTCAGTTCCGTGCTTCATTACACAAGCAGACAGTTAGAATTAGTTAGCTCTCTACCACACTCACCAAACCCAAACCCACTTCCATCGAGGTAATTCCAACTCACAGAAATCCTACAGGATAAAAGCTAAAGAGCCTGCAGGGCTTCCCAGAGAGTAGATCTTTACAGAAGCAGATGACCTCATCTCTCTCCTTTGGAGCAGCTGGTGAGTTTAAGCCACTGACTTTGTGGGTTCTTTGTGGGTTCCTGTCCCTCCTGCCCTTCTCTCCAGTGCTAGGATAAATACTAAGTACAGGTGGTCTCTGGTTTAAGGAGGAGATCTCTTCCTGTGACTTTAAGGCACATTTGTAGGCTCAGGCAGAACTTATTTTGGGTTAAGAAAAGGTTCGAAGCCTTTTTCAGGATTTAAAAGCTACATGTGCAGCAAGTGAAGGTGATCTGTGATGAAGAACAGGTGTTGTTGGTGCAATAGCGTGAAAGTGAGGGCAAATTTATAGAACACTGAAGGGCAAGTAGGAGCTGTCCATAACCTGGGGACTCATTATGTACTATCTTCCAACCTGTGGGTTCGTAGGTGTAGAAGTTTTCACTCTAGGTTGCACAGTCTGAGGCAGAGACACCAGAGTTTGAGGAAGGTAGAGAGGAAGGGAAGGTGACTCTGTAAAAGCTTCTGAGTCTTCAGACAACCACTGCTGAAGCTGATCTTCAAACCTGAAGCAACATAGAAGCATACAGTCAGAACCATAGGAGCACCACATAGCAAAAGTAAACTTTTCTCCTATGTGCATTTAAAATTTTCCCAAGCCTTCAATATGTACTATGCTACATCAATTAAAAATGAAAGATGGGTCCATCATGAGTTGGCATAATGTATGCTGAATCTCAAGTTGATTATAGCTACTTTAACTCTAGAATTACTCTGAGACTTGGGGGGGAAAAAGGAAAATGTACTTTAAAAACTAACTTCTTTCAGGGGGAATGGTGGGCAGGAGGATAGTGTGCAACTATAAATGAATGGAAATCCAGTCTCTGTAAACTTTCATTAAAATAAATTTTTTTAAAAATAAACTTCTATCAGTTTATATACCCAATTTACATTTAATGAGAAAAGTGGTATTTATCAAAAATTGCTTTACTGTTACTTAAAATTACTCCTAATTCATATTCTCTATTTAGTTTCCTTAGGTTATATGTTAATTAATTCTTTCTTTATGGATTACTCAAAGGCATGGGCTATGGATTATAGTTTAAAATTAGCTCAACATAACCACCACTGCTATCTAATAGACTTCAGAGCTGTCGACCACCACCAGCCCATCTTTCAAAGGAATGCAATCTGATTAAAAATCACTAAAATACCACACACCTAAGAAAATGTACTTCTAAAAATTATAACAGGATTGTTCATTCTTCAAACACTATTTTGGGGCAAAATAGTGCAAAATCCCAGGGATACAATACAAACATGACAGATGGGCTCCACACAGCAGATAGCTCATGTTGCCAAGGACAGGCAGAGAAGTAAATGCAAGGGCCATGCAGTCTAAAGGTGGTCGTGTCATGGAGCGCAAGCCAGAGGTCTAGAGACGGGAAGATGGAGACATAAAGTCAGGGTTCCAGGTAAGAGTACACTAGGTCAGGCCATGCACTGGCCTGGAGCAGTTGAAACGTATTGGCTGGGGCCAGATAGTAATGTAGACAGATCACAAAAGGCCCTGACAGGTCCTGAGGCATATGCCCATCATCCCATGTAAGAGAGGAAGCTCACACATTCTTAGTAAAGCTGTGCGCTGTGTAACCTTTGAAAGGATCCCACTGGTCCTGCCAGGGTGAGGCCATGCCTGTGGAGGCAGTGGCCTGAGTGGGGTAGTCATCATAGTCACAGTGTCAAGACAGATGGCTCAAGGGTGAGTGTGTTCTCAAAAAGAGCCCTCCAGACCTGTCGAGGACTGGAGATGGAGAAATGTGGCGTGTGGGCTGAGCAGTGCCCGTCACTGAACAGGCTACAGCAGGAGGAGCTGGCTAGAGGAAAGCAGGTCTCTTGCGGAACATGTAAAATCTGAAAGGCCTGCTGAACATCCAAAAGAGATTCACAGGGGCAGCCAAGTACTTACACTAGGAGTTCATACTCTGGGCCCAAGACATACTGTCAAACACTGACCCTTCAAAATCTGTAAGCCTGCGTGGAATCATGGGCAGAAGTTGCCAAAAGAGAAGGGAAGGGGTCTGGAGGAATCAGGGCTTTCAACAACAGGAGGAGCCAGCAGAGGTGTCCTGGGCCAGGGGGAACTAAATGGTGAGAAAAGGTGTGAGCTATGGCCTCACATGGGTTCCGGGTTAGGTTGGGAGAATGGACACAAGGACGAGAAAGCCCCTCAGCAGTAGAGAAACAGCATGGACTAATACATGAGCACGGACAGTGGGGCTGAGGGTTTCACTGAGGGGAGCAGAACCATGGTGGTGACCAGGAAGAGCGTGGGGCTGTAGGCTCCTGAAGGAGATGTGAAATGAGCTGTGGAGACAAAGAGGCCAGGGTCCAGGAGGGTAAACTGTGGGCCTACATGAGGATGTATGTGCTTGGGAAGCAGCCAGACATGCAGATACAGCAGGGGGAACAACCGATGTAGATGACCTTCATGCTGTTAATATCATAAACAAGGCTGTCAGAAAATGAGGGGCTAGGGCAGGGACAGGTGGGGTGTGAAGATATGAAGAGGGAGGGAGACACACTGCTCCCACCAGGGTGAGGAGATCCGCCAACACCTCTATGCTTCTCCAGCGCAGTAACACGCAGACCTCCACACATGCACATTTCACTACAACACTTGGAACTGATTTTGTAAATGAAATGGATTTTTGGTAAGACTTTCAAAAATACCTTTTCCAGAACACAACTTTTGCCCTCAAGGAGCTTCTTAAGTAGTCCTGGCACACTTTCATTTTCAAATAGTCGCATCACTGTCACCCTGGTTACGGCCCTTGTTCCCCCCACCTGGCTGTCAGCACTCTCACCCCGTCCTCTCCACCAGGCTGTAGCACTGTCCCACCTGTGCTTGCCCTCCTGCCCTGTCCTCACCATCAGCCTGACCGTAGCCGTGGCCATCTGCAGGTGCTGCCACCCTCCAGAGCACACTCACTGTCCCCACCTGACTGTCCTAGAACTCACTTAGCAGTCACCTCTCCCAACACGAAACAGACTGGACAAAGTCCACACCCTGCGGAGGCAGCTCTCACCTCCTGTTCTCCTCCTTCTCCCGGAGGAGGCTGCTGGACAGGCACTGTGAGAGGCGCTCTTCAGGCGAAGCACCGCTGATCAGCTCCTCAGCACTGGGGACACCCCTGTCCCGGCCAGTCGCAGGGCTCCTATTCTGTTTCACGCGGATGTGATGTAATGGAGACGGGAAACGGTGAGAAGGGTGGAGAGACTTGATCCTCAAGCTGAAACATATGTTCTGAAAGTTAAGGTGAGGAGAGCAAAGGCAGGCCCTACTGCACCACAACTACGCATATAAACACTGTCCAGCACGGGCCCCAGACGCCACTTCCAGGTCTACAGGCACTATGTGGCCTCTCACCTGCACCACACTGCATCCCTTCTCCAGCCTGTATTACCAGAAGTTTCCACTCCCTTGAGGCAATTATACTCGAGTCACCTCAATTCTGAACCTCTATCCCACCCAGTGCTACAAGCAGATCCCTCTACTTCATCTAAATGATGGCACTCTTGAATCGACCTAGGAGTTGTGTTTGTAAACAAGAAAGATGGGTTCTGATATTTTTCCTCACACATGTCAGTTAGCCTGTCACACAAGAAAAGCTTGTCCTTCCTGTTCATCTCGCCCTCGGCAGAGTCACCACCACACACCACTTCATCCTGGTCTGGTGCTGTGCCTACAGTGTTAAATGCTTTTTAAATCCCACAGCTTTCCTGTGCTTTTATATGACGCTGCACAGACTCTTTCATCACTTCAGTTTCCATCATTTTCACAGTGATTACTACAGTTCCTCACCTTGTTCAATTTTAGAATGAACATATTATCTGACTCCAGGGAAAAGCACTCTCTTGGTCCCCTGAGAGTTCAGGGTTTGAGAAAGATGCTGTTACTTCTCCATTTCCCTTCCAATGCAAATGTGGTCTCACACACGAAGGTTCAGCTTCCCCTATTACCCATGCTCATTGTGGTGGGCTTGCTGTGGCTCAGGATGGGACTCTCAATGGTGCAGGATAATCTCTATGACAATCTCAGCTGATTGAACCTTGAAATGTTCTGACAGTCTAGCTGTTCACAGCTTTGAACCAACAATGTGTCATCCAGAAACAAGAGTTCCTCTTCTCTAACATCCCAACCTTCTGCCCTGTGCCTCTCTTCTCCCACACTCCAAGTACACCCAGCTCCTGTGTCCTACTCAGTCAGCACCCCAGGACGAGACAGACCAACAATGTGCTGCATGGCAAGGAGAGTTCCTCTCCACTGCACCCCCACCTCTGCCCCCTTGGTCACAGCCTCCAGGACAAGGACAACAGTATTCTCAACCTCATCAAGCAGTTTTAGGAATAGTTTTAAAGGGACTTTTCACCCAACAAGAAATGCAATGAGGCATGGCTACAGATTTTAAGAGATGCATTCCAGCCAGGAGCATGCTCCCTGTGACCTCAGCACAATTCTGTGGCACCGCTGTCTCCCCAGGGACCATTTCTGAGCCAAGTTTGCAAGTCACATTCCTTTGCCCATGCTCCATCAGCTGTGGCTTTATCTCATATCACAGATGAAGTGAGAAGCTCAGGAACAGCTCCCACAGGGCCAGGCTCTTCTGAGGGCCTGCAGGTCTGTCTGTCCATGTCAGCTGCACTCAGTGCAAACAACACCCAGGAGCATGAAAAAGGACGAGACCTCCTCCACGTGCTTTTGTCAAGACAGTACGATCTGTCTCCTGGATGCCAGACCCAGAACACATAGGTATACTCAACACAAATCTCATTCCCAGCTGTGGGGGCTTGTGTGCATACAGAGCTCCCGGTCTCCAGCTAGAGCTGACAGACACACGCACACAGTACACAAAAGGGACTTCACCAACCCCAGCTGTGAGTCCCAGACGATACACACACACACACACACGTAACATGGATCTCACCGGCCCTGGGCCTGCTGGAGCTCCTTCTGCGTCTGTATCCTGGCTTGTTCCCATGACAAAGGGACCTCATATTTTTTCAAATGGTTTTTAAAAAAATATACACAAATCTGACCATCTTCACTCAGTGCCTCTAAGGAAATAACACAAAAGCAAACAAAGAGAGGAGAACATCAGAAGAGCATGAGATGACTGCTTGCTGTGTGTCTAAACTTTGGGACTTTAGACATCTGGTTAACCTGAGCGCCACAGTTCCTGACTCCCAAGCCCATGTCCAATTTGCTCCAAGCATCCACCATTCCATAATGGCTCCCTGTTTCCAGTGATTTAAGAAGCCACAGCCTGGGCCATTTCAGAAGCTTAAAAGCTCTATGATGAGTCCAGCCCCAATCAGAACTTTGCCAGTCCTTCTCAGTATCTACCCACCACAGGAACATCACTTGCTTGGCAGACAGGCAATGGGACAAAAGGGGCTGACGAAGTACAGCACACACAATGACAAAGATGACGATCTCACACAAGCTGCTAACCTGAGGTGACAGGGAGCCGGGGAGGTGACCAATCCTGAAGCTTGTGGTCAATGCATAAGGCGAGGAAGTCATCCCATGGGATCTCTGCAACTGAAGGTCCCGGTGCCCCATCTGGCATGGGGTTCTGGCTCCTCCACCTGCTGTAGGTCTTGCCAAGCAGACTCTCCACCTGGGACTGGAGGACAGGCTGCGTCCTGTGTGAGCTGGAGATCTGAGATGCATACTGGAGGACCATAGTGCACACAGGGGCCCAGGGTGCTAGAGGGAGAGGATGCGTCAGCCACAGACAGAGGTCACCTGCTAAAACAAGCCTCACGCTGCTCCCCTGGGAGATGCCACATGTGAAAGCCTTTCCCCATTCTAACGCCGTCACAGCACCTCAGTCAGTGGAAAATGAGTGTGTTCAGGCCACAAAGAAACCACTAGCAGGGATGTTCCTCAACAGAACTCGATGCATGCGTTAGCCACGGACGGCATAGTCTCCAAGCTGCTCGGTGCTTGTGCCAGGTCAGACCCATGGGATCCAAGTCCAAACTCAGCACAGAGACAGCATTGCAACAAAGCAGCAAAGCCTGTCCTGAGCAGAGCTCCTTGTCAAAAAAGGGAACATGGATGCCACGTCAGCACTAACACTAGGTCAGAGCCGGGAGCCATGTTCCACCTCCCTTGCCCACCAGTCTGGTCAGAGTAAATTAGCTTTGGTTTCAGAAATCCCATAGGGCCTCCTCTCTGGTAGCATGTCAGCGCTAAGGGCTAAAAGACGTGCATCCTCCAACCAGGCTTATCTTAACTGCCTAAGTCAAAGGCAAACATGGTGGCAGCAGGTGCACTGGTATAGAGGGGTTAAGGTAATAGTAAACACCCCTCTGGACCCTCATGAGAACAGGTACACAAATCGCACACCAGATGTTAAGAGGAGCCAATGGTTTGCGCAGGCCAGCCTCCCCTTGCCCCTCAACCCTACCAGGGCTCCCTGTGGTGAGGCACGCACCCCCAGGAGGTGGGAGGTCCATCTGTGGGATCTGAAAGGTCAGCACTGCCTGCTTCAGCCAGGCCAGGTGTTCTGGGCTATTCCAGTGCAGGTGAGGTAGTAACTGGTTGCCCCCCACCTCAGCAAACTCAGACACAGGCCAGGACAGGTCACAGAGCTGCTCAAAGGAAGCCACAGTGGCTAGGAAATGCAGCACACTATTGAAGAGGTCAATGACGGCGCTGGGCTCCTGTGAGGCCAGCCCAGCCAGTCGCCGCTCTTGCCGGTCATGGAAGAATCGGTTACTGAACTCCCTGGCGACTCCATCTTCGATGTACTGGGTCAGTGTCTGGCAGCAGAGATCCAAGGTACTGGGGCACCGAGAAACCAGCCATTTCACTGCCTGTGAGACCTGAGTAGGGAGACAGACAAGCAGGCCTTATAGGACAGTTTCCCCAAGAGCTTTGTAAGGTCAGTGCCTATTCAGAACCAACCCCACACTGCCTGGGGGTCACACACTTTAGTCCTCCTTTTCACAGATGAAACAGGAACCAAGTTCTTACCTGCCAGCCCCACCCTGAGTCACCTGTGACTATCTCCCCTACCCGACACTTTCATCCGGAGTGACTCTCACCTAACCCCAGTTACTTTAAGGTGTCCTGATGGCAGAGTACGTAACACATATCAGCCTGCTACTCCAAAGGTCAGCAGTTTAAAGCCATTAACGGAAACAAAGGAGAAAGAAAGGTTGTCTCCTCCTATAAAGATTTAGTCTTGGAAATCTGATGAAGGGTCATAGCAATCAGTTGGCTCAACAGCAGTGAATTTCTGGTTACTTTAATCCCAAATCTCACATATATCCCCAGTGTAACTATTAGATACCCTTCACTTAAAGAAACCTCCGATAATGCTAATTTCTGCACATATCCCCATGAAAGAGTTTATCAATGTGATCTTCAGATGTAAGATGTGGTCAGTCACATTTTAAATTCATAAAAAAGCAGGAAAGAAATTTACATCAACAATTTAATGTCTTGCAGGTGACAAGACTATGAGCAAACTATCATTTTAATTTAATTGTACTTATACTTTTAGACTATTAACTGCATAAAACATGAAGTTAAAATTGTAAACTGTTATATATACTAAACTCATAACAGCACAGGAGAGGGGGAAAATGGGGACATTCATAACTGTGAAAGTGTGAGGCGTACCTTAGCTGTGCCTTGTAAATCACGGATAGACTCTGGAATCTCTATAACCATGTAATCTGATATTAGCTTTGCCGACACCAAATCCTGCAACATCAGGCCTTGGGAAAAACAGAAGAGTTTCATTATCTCCCACCCACAGACATACATGAACACACACACATACATACCACACACATAAGCACTGCATACACAAACACGCACACTTGCTGCACCAGCATCAAATACAAACACCAACCCATGTTCAGCGCTCATGGCAATTACGTCTACAGTGATGGTCAGGGCCTCCGTAGAACCAGGTCCCACGCATAATCAAGGCTTTGTCCACATACCATCTTCCACATCCTTCTCAACATCATCCTCGCCCAGGCTGGGTGCAAGAATAGCCAGTGGGACTTCTGGCTGAAAAGGTTTCGCCTGCAAGAGTTGCTTGAGTTGGAAGAGGGCTGACAGCCAGTACACATCTTCCTCAGCCGTGTCCTCACTCCGGACTCGGGGGGGTAGCAGCAACAACAGTCCACTGGTACCCAAGAGGTCTTTCTGTGTCTCCACTGCATCAAAGGCGCGGTCACTGAGGGTGCCACAAGCCACCTGTAACAGTACCAACACCATCAAAACAAATCACCTATGTACTAAGTCACAAGCACTAACAGGGTGTGGTCAGGCACTATAGCACCGGCCCTGCCAGCGTCCAGAGACCCAGAGGAGGCTGGGCTCCACATTAACGCGCAATGTAAGAAACAGCGTGTCAACAGATGACATAGCTTCCAGCGAAGACAAGGTACGACCATACTCATTGAATCTTAGATGTTTAATCCCAAATAGGGAGATATATAAAGATGGGTAAACCACCATGGCAGGAAGGGAGACGCAAATCTCTTTTTTCCAGAGGCAGAAGAGAAACAGGCTGTTACTGGCCTAAGAAGAAAAGGAAGTTCTGCAGATGTGTGCACAGTAAGTGGTACAGGCAAGGAAAGGTTTGGATCGTGGGGTGGGGGTTGGGGGCCGGTCACATGTTAGACAAGTACCCTAACCTCAGTGAGTGGCTGCTTCATGTAAGAGCCTGGGCAGGTATAGGTTGGGGGACAAGGTACCTCCAGCAGTGACCCTAGGAGGCTGGATGCGTCATCTCTGGAGACACCAAGCAGCCAGATGCGACTGAAGGCCCCCAACAGGCTATCTGTCCTCCAGGGAGCCAACCCCCGAGGACTGCTGAGAAAACTTCTTAGGAGAGCAGCAATCTGAGAATTCCCCCAGTATTGGTAGTGAAGGTACAGGAGAAGATGACAGGAAAAAGCACATGTGGTTTGTCCTTTGTGTTCACACAAGTAAGAGACCTCTCATCCTCCTACCTAAACTGAGACCCCTTACCTTCACACACACACTGACAGACACCGTCTGGCCCCCTTTGCTGCTCAGCGCCCTTGCTAGAGCAAGTGTCTGGATCCCACCAGTGTCGCCACTAGTTCCATCTGCCAGTCCTCCACTTCCTATGAATTTGACCTTCAGCCAATTTGCTAGAATTCTGTGGAAACAGGAAAACAATCATTAGAGACAAACCCAGTTCCAAGTCTGAATAAGGGAGATTCTCAGGAGAAAGAAAAAGGAGGGTGTCACATAGAGCTAGAGTCACATTCCACAATGTACTGGACACTGGCTGGCTATACAGCCTGGCTGTGGTTTGAGGACAGTGCTAGGGACCCCACAAGGTCTGGAAGGAAGGACACCTGGAATAGGCTTGCTTTAATACGAGTCAAGATACTTAAGTACTCAAGATCTAGTGACTGGAAAAGATTTGTTCATATTTTATAGATTCAAAGCTCTTGCTGCTGAGGTTTTAAGAATTCTTATGTGACATGTCCATTACTCATCTGTCAGTGTGTCAGACTGTCGGGGCTAGAGTTGCTGTGATGCTGGAAGCTATGCTACTGATATGTCAAAGACCAGACTCATCCACGGTGGACAGGTTTCGGCAGTTTCCTGACTAGACAGACTAGGAAGCAGGCTTCACAATCTACTTTTGAAATCATGAACCCCGGAAAATCCCATGAGAAGACTGTTTGATATAGTTTGATATAGTACTCTAAGAGAATGTGGAAATTACCAAAGTAGATCATCAATACCACACGCAAGTAAAATCTTGCTGAAAAATATCTTAAAAATGGCTGAACAGCATATTGACTGGGAAAAACTGCCAAAAACTCAAGCTGGATTTACAAGAGGACTTGGAACAAGGATATCACTGCTGACATCACATGGATCTCAGCTGAAACCAGGGAATGGTAGATGTTTACTTGTGTTTTATTAACTATGGAAATGCATTTGACTGTGTGGCTCATAAAAAATTATGGATAACATTGAGAAGAATGGGAATTCTAGAACACTTAATTGTGTTCATACAAAACTTGTACACAGACCAAGAAATAGTCCCTAGAACAGAACAAGGGGATACTGAATGATTTCAAATCAGGAGAGGTGTGCATCGGGACGGAAGCCTTTCATCATACCTATTCAATCTGTATGTTGAGCAAATAATCTGAGGAGGTGGCCTATACAAAGAAGAGTGTGGTATTAGGATTACAGGATGATTGATCAACAAGCTGTGATATGCAGATGACACAACTAACTTGCAGAAAATAATTACAGCCTATAGTATGGATTGTACTTCAATATAAAAAAAAAAATTCCTACAACTACGCCAATAGAGAACATTCAGACAAACAGAGAAAAGGACTGAAGATGCCTATTTCATTTCACGTGGATCTATAATCAAAACTTTGGGAAGCATTCAAGAATCAAAACAATCCTGCAGCTGCATAGTCTTCACCACGGCCACCGAGTCGAAGCTGGAGAGCCCGGAAAGGGGAATCTGTTCAGGCTTCTAGGAATTTTAGATGTCCAAAACCTTCCCCCTGCACTAGACTCAGTGTTGTTTTGGGGCATTAGTGTCTGTTGTGGCTCGCCTTGGACATTTTTTATTAGCCAGTAGAACTGGAAGATCATGTGAGGCTGGATTAAGATTTATTTTGGTGACTTTAGGTTATTGGTTCCATTGCAGGTGTAATTGTGCAAAGCTAAGAATCCAGGAAAGAATTGCCAGAGAAGGTATTAAAAATAAGATTTTTATATGAAATCACCCACCCTGATCTTGGAAAAAAACATCCATAAGCAGTACAACAAATGAGCAGTCTTAAGCAGAGAACATCGATACAACATTCAAATCGTGTACACAGAGCCACGATCAAGTGCACAAATCATGTTATCATGTACAAAGTAAATGATGCTATCTTCACACACACTGGTATAAATACTTGCAAATTACTCTAGTGGCCCTGTACTGCCATTCCATGTTACATGCCTCACACTTTAAAAAAAGTAAACAGAATTACTGGCAGTGTGTTATGTTAAAAGAATAAAACTGTAAAATCTAGTATTAGAAAAAAAAGGAATCAAACAAACAATTGCAGTGGGCAATGCTGTGGCCAACAAGCTCATTAAAGTGCTCAAGATGTAGTTTAAAAAACAAGATATGCCTGACCAAGGCAAGATATTTTCAACTCCTTTATGTGTATTTGAACGTTGGACTAAGAATTAACAAAGCTGAAGAACTGATGCCTTTGAATTGTGTTAGTGAAGAGTATCGAATATACCATGGAGTGCCAAAAAAACCAAAACAATCTGAAGAACTGATGCCTTTGAATTGTGTTAGTGAAGAGTATCGAATATACCATGGAGTGCCAAAAAAACCAAAACAATCTCTTTTGGAAGGAATGCAACTGAAGCATTCCTTAGAAGAAAAAAGACGGTAAGACTCTGTCTCACATATTTAGCACATATTCTAAGGAGGGCCTGGATAAGAATATCATGCTTGGGGAAGAAAAAAAAAAGAGAGTATCAGCAAAAGAGAGGAAGGCCCTCAATGAGTTGCACTGACAGTGAATGCAACAATAAAGTGACGCATAGTAGAAATTGTGAGCATGGGCCAAAACTGTTGTGAGATTTTTATCCTGTTGGACCTAGGACTGCTATCAGACATATTTCTTAATGAACTTACTGTAAATCAGAAAAGAGCTGTTTTATTTTATTTTCAGAAACCAATTATCATTTAAGTATCCTGAGAATGCCACATTTTCCTCCTTGCTCAGTTACGATCCTATGAAATGAGTTTTACTTTCCTTGGCCTATCAATGTTCAATGCTAACTACTTAAAAAGCACTGTGTTCTGAGAACTCACGCCTTTTCATACACTACTGGTAGCCGTGTCACGTAGCAGCATCGTGGAAACCGTCTGGCCTACCATATGACCATATGACCTAGCAAACCAACCCCAAGAATAAGCCCAAGAGAATACACACACCTATACAAAAATTGTTTGTTCTTAGCATTTACCAAATTCTTGGACTAAAAAGTGAACTAGTCTAAAGCTTGAACTTCAATCATGAACAAACTAGACAGAGTTCTAACTTCAGAGGTGCCCCAGCAAATAAAGGAGGAGCCACCAACCCCTCCACCTCACTCCTGTCCCCAACCTGTGCTCAGGCTGCCTAACCTGCTGGGACTCTCTGGGGACAGCTCTTCTTCTTCAGGCAGCACCAAGACCAGCTTCCAGAACACATGCTCCTGCCATCTGGGAATGTGCTCAGCGACAAGGGTTGGCAGGTCCAGAGGTGCCCACACTGCATCCCTGTGGGAACAGAACACTGCAGTGAGCCAGCCACAGCCTCACAGAGGGCAGCTGCCCCTGGAGTTCTGCATCTCACCTCAGCAGCTGCTGGAAGAAGTACTGGACCTTCATGCAGTGAGTGGCCATGTCCCTGAGCTGCCTCAGTCTGCAGAGAGAGGGGGAGGTGTCATCTGTCTCCAAAGGGTGAAGGAAAAGTTAGTGACAGAGCTGGGTGGGAACAGCTAGGAGGGTCACCCAGTGGGCTTACGAGCCACTGAAGAGGGTACCAAAGGTGAGACAGACCCATTTACACTGAGAAGCTCAAAGGCTACAAAGAAAGGAAAGACTAATGGAGGTAGAATCAGTGAGAAGCACTGAGGAAACGGGGGAAATAGTGTGCAACAGGGATATAAATGGGCAAGACCAAAAGACAAAGAAGAGAAAGAGCATAGGGCAAAGCGGGTTCTGAGGCCTCTGGCTTGACTAAAATAAGGGAATACTGGGAGAAATATTGTATCAAGTACAGCTATTGATGGAACAAGAGAGTTTTAGGACATAGAGCACATTACATGTGAGCCAGGAGCCAGGCTCCCAAGGACCCACAGCCCAAGACTAAAGGGAAGGCCAACCTCAAATACACAGCCTGTGGAGTGTCACGATACAAAGACCCCACATGCTGTTATCTCAACACACATGGTCACTTATGTTCCTGCTAAGTTGGGGCAGAAGACTGAGGGACCTGAGGGGGCTAGAGTAGGGCGGACTTGAAGTTAGAAGACAGTAAGATCTAGGAAAGCAGATCTGGGGAAGGAGACCAAAAGGTCCTTGAAAGAGGCAGGGAAGGGCATCTTTAGGGGCAGGAGACCTAGAAGTGCTTCATGTGAGACTCTGACCTGGTGCAGGAGATACCCAGCTTGCCAGCGTGGCCCAAGTTCAGGAGGCCTTGAGCCAAGTTCTCTGCAGTGATGGGGCACTCAGCACTTGGAATCAGTGCCCTCAGCTGGTCAGCTATGTCCATTCCACAGGGGGCTGCAGGGAAGGCACGCATCTGGCGCCTCAGCTTCTTTCGGGCTACAACAGCATCCCTCCATCTGAGGACACATGAACCAGTGTTATTCCTTCTAAGGTCCCCTCAGGCCAAATGCAGGCCTTCCTAGCAAAATATTTAGTTCGACAGGTTGTATAAATATCTACATGTGCGCTCTGTGTACTTGTGGGTATATGAGGGATTCTACTGTAAAACAGTGAACCACATCACTGCCTGGAGACAATGTTAGCTCACAGTCATTAAATATGGCAGAAAATCTGCTGAATGTGTGTGGATTTCACCTAGAGACACCAAACTCACCGCTGTAGATATTTGCAGAAGCACTGAAGCTCCTGAAGGGTCTCCTTTGCTGTTTGGAAAGTTTCTTCCTCCAAGAACAAGTCCATTAAGTAGGCACAGACGTCCTCACTGCAGCGGTCCAGCCGAGCCCTCTGGTCGGCCTCCACTGCACATCTGGGGGGGGGTCAGGGGGAGCGGCAGTGAGCACAGGGAGACCTCACCAGGCCACACACCACAGTCGTGATGACACAGAGTCAGAGTCACTCACGGCTTTAATAGCTAAATGCAATGAAATCTCCTCAAGAAACAGTTTAAGATTTTTCATTTCTACTTAAACCATAGAGATCTGGAATAATGGAAGGGGGAAAAAAATAAATAAAATGGTTCAGGAAACTAAACTGCAGGTTCAGTTTAGGGCTTAAACAGTTAAGAAATAAGTCTCTGTCTTAACAATTGCACAATTTAAATCTTAAAAGGTCGACAGTCACTACTGACATCATATGGGCACGGAGGCTGCAGGTGTAAGTGTGACACCACCCACATTCCCTGGAGTGGCACTTGAGCTTGTACAAGGATGTGGGACTGGGGACACAGACACACACACACTCAGTTAGCCAACTGGTATGCTGTCTACCAAGTGTAGCTAAAACCCAGCTACCCTGAAATGCCTGTGGGCCCGCAAGGAAGGGGCCAGGCAGCCCATCCCTCAGTCTAGGGGACCTCCACCACCCACGCCAGCCTGGCCCTCAGTGCCACTCACTTCAGCTCCTGGGCTGCAGTCTCGCTGACACAGTCTATCACCACTTGGTCTGTTAGCTCCACAGCCAAAACATGGCTCATCTGAGTTAAAAACAACTCTCTCTCCTGTTTCAACCTGAAGTCAGAATACAAAAAGCAAAAGGGTAACATCTGAGTCTGAAAGTTGAGGTCATCAGACTTTTGATGTTGTCAGTGGGGGTTGTGTAACCAGGCCCATCCCTTTGCTCCACAGAGCACCAGGTATCCTGGGGGGCACAGAGGTCTCCATCATGGGTCTCCTGTCCTTCCTGTCTCCACCCCACACTCACCTCTCCTGCTCCGCCCGACGTCGCTCCTCCTGGGCCTGTGCCTGCGCCTCACTCACACCCTCCGCTGCCACAGCCCTCAGGATGTCCTCCGTGGCAGCCGCCAGAAGCTCCTCCGCAGCCGAAACGGATACACTGCATAGACAAGAAGCAACACTCAACAGCTGATGGCCAAGGCCCAAGCAGCCAGTCAATGAGGCACAAAGCAGCAGAGGGCACTGCCGGCTTTTAAACACAGGAAGTGAACACAGGGGGCCAGGCTCGTTTTCCTTCCATCAGAGTCTAATTTGGACACAGCAACTCCCAGCCTTGGAGGAGGTGACCCTTTGAGACTCACACTCACCAAAGTGTGAGAGCACACCCTCCCTCTAGGTTATTTAATATGCAAGGAGTTTTGTGAGACATGTAGAACCTTTAAGGAACCATGACTTCATAAATCACATTTACTAGCTTTACAAAATTGCTTGAGAGCTCTGAAATATTCTAAGAGCTGAAGCACTGAAATACGGTTTATAGTGTCCACAGAAATTTCATTATTATGTAAAAAGTGCACAACTTTAAAGGGGGTCAAATACATCAAATTACAAACCTAGTCTTAACCTAAGATCAAATAAGAGAGTATGCTTTTCAATTTCCTAAGAACTAACCTAATTTTAGGCCTTAACTATATTTTTGTGTACCATCCATCGAGTCAGAACTGAACCATAGCTGACCCTCCAGGGGATTTTAGAGGCAGTTAATTGAACGGGAAGCGCCCACCCTTCTCCCACAGAGCAGCTAGTGGCCTCAAACCATGTGCCTTCGGGATCGCAGCACAGCTTCTTGACAGTAGGCCACCAGAGCTCCCTGACACTTTAACTACATTTTAAAATTCCAAGTTTAAGGAAAGTAAATTTTAATTTGATCAAGCAACTGTGCCTCAAAAAACATACACACATGGAATTTCCATGCCAAGAGAAACTATGAGGTCAGAAACACAAGAGGTGATGCCAACCCAGACAACAGATCATACTGAGAGCCAGACAGGGTCATGGAAATCAGTCATGAGCTGAGATCTGTACAAGCAGGCTGAGAAGTCTCTCCGGGGCAGAGAGAACTTTCTAAGAGAAGACGGGGCTGGGGCACAAGCAGAAGTGTCCCAGCCCAGCACGCACCTGAGGGCCGTGGCTGCATACGCTGCTCCAACACCACCAACCTCCTCACAGTCCCTCTCAAGAACATCGTGGATGATCTCATCTACCACCTGTGCAATGTCCTAAGGAGAGACAAAAAGACACAGCGTCAGGAGATGGGGCCTCAGTGTATACCAGTAACGGGACACCAGCACCACATAACCTCTGGCTGATCAAAAAGCATGAGTCACAGAAGGTCAGACAATTGACTCACAGCCTAGAGAACAGAGGCCTTCAATCATATAAGAAAAATAAGTCCCTGCAGGACAACATTGCTGTGCAAGGCTGTACACATGCACCAACGTGCTGATTTGGGGCCCCCTAGACAGAAAGCACGACCCCACCCAGGGGCTGTGCTGCTGGGAGGTCCCCACACAGGAGCTGAAGCCCCTACTAGCTTCCAGGCTGCCTCTGAAATAGAGAGATGATGTCTGATTACAACCTACACTGAAGACACACAGTGCCCATCCAACTCCTCTGGTTGCCCATGCCAAGCAGTTAACATGGGTCATGTGAACACCAGGGACCCTAGCTCACAGCCTACTCACTCTCTGGCTTTTCTGCCGAGACAGGCACCAATGGGGTAATAGTCAGATCAGACTAGTGAGCGCTCAAGACAGGACCTCCTGAGTGCTGCTGTGGTCACTGCAGAGATGGAATGGACTTGAGTGACCAGTGGGGTGACCCTGCTCCTGTCAGCGGAGAATCTGCAGGTGGGTTACTCCTTGCACCCTCTCCATAACTGCATTATGCAGCCTCACCTCATGGGAAGGAAGGAACACATGTTCACACTTTATCTGTAAAATTTCTCTGCTCACTTCAAAGTTTCAGAAAAAGACCATAATTGTCACAGCCAAAATCAAGTCCTCTCTCTCAGAGCCTTGGCAGATGGAAACCACAAGAGTGTCATGTGTGATAAGACCCTGAGACATAGAAAGAGGCTGATCACAGGCACCCAAATGGACGGTGCCCATTAAGCAGGGCCGCAGTCTGCAAAGGTGATCCAGAAGGTTCTTACCGCATCAGAATACACGGGTGCCATCCTTGGTGGAAGTAGCTCTGGCTGCATGGGGGGCTGGAAGAGGCTAGGTGGTGCCACAGCTGCTGATGGGGCTGGAACATGAGGCAAAGACATGGGCAAGGTGGTGTGGGCCAGAGGCTGTGGGAGCAATCCAGGGAGGGGCACGGCGGGCTCTGCAGCATGCTCCTCTCCTCTCACGCCACCTGGAAGCAGCAAAGAAATGCAGAACTCAAACACAAGGACGATGCCCAGCAGGCAGGTCAGCCAGGCTACCAGACTATCACCCAAGTTATTCACCCCCACCACGCCCCCAGGCATTCATGTCTGCAGGGGGGAGGGCTTCACAGCCAATCAGCACCTCCAGTCTCACAGTCTCCATCACTGAGCCATGTTTACACACATCACTCTTGAAACACTTTAAAGGTCCCAGGGAATCTGTAATGTGTGACCCCAATACGATCATGCCCTGCTTACCAGTAGTCTCCACACCAGGTCTCTGGGAGCTGGTGGCTGACTCTGTGATCAGATTCTCCCCAATATACTTATTCTGGGAGTTGAAACTGCACACAGGTGTGTGGCAGGGGACAGGGGGCAGAGGTCCCCCATTCACGGTCTCCCCCACTGACACCACCAGCTTCTGGGTGATGAATACCGACTTCTTGGCCTTAAATAAGCCTTCTGGTTCCAAGAACGACGACCGGTTCAGTTCAACGCAGCTACCCAAGTCGGGAAGGGGGTATAAAAAGAATCACATGCATGTTAGCCATGAGAAGACGCCTCTATATGTGTCCGTCAACAACGCCAGCAGATGGTCCCGCCCACCACTGTCACCCCACAATGATAGGAGGTGCAATGCAGCCTAGGCTGCCCACGCGACAAAGGCCTCAAGGCTCTTGCTCTAGAGCACCAGGTCCCTGTGGAGCACAAAAGCCACTCGGGCTGCAGTGACAACAGGCTGGAGGGCGGCTCCCTGAAGGACATGAGGTTTGAAGAAACCCTGACACAGGCCTAGCCAGGTCCACAACTCCCCCAGGAAAAGTGAATCATCTGCACCACTAGTACTCACCCATCAGAAACAGAGAGGCCATGGTAGCTGAGGAAGTCAGCCGCCTCGTCGCCATCTTGGAAGAGCAGCATGCGTACCACACTGTCCAAGGGGAAGGCAGTGGACCGCTGCGTGCTCACCGTGTAGGCCATGTTGAGCGCCCTAAGCGCATCTTTGCGGATCTGGAGGGAGAAGCCAGTCTGATTCACACACCTGTCCAATTGTGTGGCACTTAAACAAACTGGCTCCATGAAATGGGGTAGCCTCTTCCCTATCACCATACCTCCCTTCCCCACCCTCTGCTCTCCCTCCCCCACTCCACAATCTTGAACCATAAGGGCCCTTTGCAAGTAAACCAAGCTCTCCTCACTCCCCAGAAGTGGGGATAACAGAGGTGGGCAGGGACAGTGGGCAGGGCTGCTCTGGGATCAGAGACTCTACAGCAGGAGCTGCAGAGCTGCTCCAGAAATGCCAAGCCCACAAGGGTTTACATAGTCTAAACCTCAGTGAGAAATGGATCTTTCTATTATCTGTGTAACTTGCCACAGAGCAGGTGTCAAGATACAAACAGCATCAGCAGGCTCACTTTTAAAACTTTAGGTCAGCATTACTATGATGTTCGAGATTAGATACTGTTTTCTTAGACCACAGAGTGTTGAGCTGAAGTTACAGTATCTTAAAAAGACTGAGCTTATCTGACTATAATGTCATTATTTTCCAAACACTGCCAACTGCTCAGTAGTAGTAGCGAGCATGAACCCTGGTGCAGGAGCCACAGGGTACACAAGGACAATGCTCCCAGGCAGAGAAGCACCTAACCACATGTTAAGGTAAGGGAAGAGTCTACTTTCCTGCAATTTTAGAGAATACCTGCATTACTCACCTGATTAAAGTAACTATGTAAAAGACAAGCATTCAGGTAAGATGAAGACTGGACCAGTTTGAAAAATCTCACGAAGTTGTTACTGTTCAGTGCAGCAAAGGCCTGAACGGCAAATTTCACCTCCGAGGAGTTTCTAACAGCAGCGGGGAACTGTTGTACTTCTCTGTTAATTAAAGATATGAGAAGGGCTTAAAATAGTACTAGGATGGCTATGAAAAGAAAGCAATCGGTTTGGAAAGGATATGAAGAAATTAGAGCCCTTGTCCACCACTATTAAGATTGTAAAATAGTATAGCTGCCACAGAAAACAGCTCAGTGGTTCCTCAAAAAGTTAACATGCAGAATTACTGTGTCATCTAGGAATCCCTAGCTCAGAAAATATAGGAATTCAAATTGACACTTATACAGTATGTTCACTGCTACACTAGACATAATAACAAAAGGTGCAAAGAGCCTAAATATCCATCCACAGATGAATTGGATAAACACCATGGGGAAAAGATGGGCAGTCTCCTCCTATAAATCCTGCAGAGATTTACAGTCTTGGAGATCAGATAGAGGGTCACTATAAATTAGAACTGATCTGATGGCACTGAATGTGGTTTCGTTTGACACATACAATAAACTACTATGAATCTTAAAAACAGGAATGCGTAGCATAATAAGCCAGACACACAAGGATAAATACTGCAAGCCCTGCTCACATTACATGAAATACCAAGAAAAGAAAAATGTAGAAAAACAAAAGTAGGTTAGTGCTTATGAGGGCCTAGGGGGAGGGACATTTAGGGGTCATTGAGATTCTATTCAGGGTGATGGATAAAATCTAGAAATGGTTCTGTAGGAGGGAGGAGCCCTTTACCATCACCCAGCATTTACCAGCAAAGAGAACTCAGCTCCATCAGCGACACTGACCTTAAAAAGCATTCTGCTGTATAACCTCGTCTTTGAACACCCTAGGCTAGCCTCTCCCTGAAAACTCACCTTAAGATATCCCCTTTGTTGAGGTTGTGTAGCACATTGTAGCCCTGGAACTCTGCCTCACCGGCACAAGAGATGCCTTTGTTCCTCAGGTCCTGGTACATCTCCTTCAGACTCTGGAGGCACTTGGTCATATTCTCATTATTGATCTTAGCATCGAAGGAGGACATGGGCTCCTCACACATGAAGTGAGCACAATGGATATGGAACCGTGTGCATTTCTCAATCAGGGACACCATCAGGGGGTCGCACAGGTGCTGCTGTGTGATGTCCTGGCCACAAGTAATGAGGAAGGTTACGTATGTGCACACAATTCACAGGTATCTTGTACAAATAACAAACACAGCACATACACATACACAGCACGTACACGTGCAAGCACACACTCCTCACATACGCATGCAGGCGTACCTCATCCATGTACAGACTGGACAGACACCTAATATGCTGTACACTCACTAATTACACACATAGATGTTCCTCATGCACAATAGGTACATGAACTCTACACATATGCACCTTGTATGCATACTGACTCCAAGTATACATATGCACATATTCTCATGCAGACAGAATTAACCATTAGAAAAATCATGATTAATACCTGAATTTCCATTTGAAACAAAGTTTCTTTAATGCATTTTAATAGAACCTACTAATGATTCTAAAATATAGGATTTATTACAGATGAAACACATTGTTATTGTTGCTGTCAACACACATCAATAGCTAATGGTTTTGGTTTGTTTTCCAAGGCATCTCTGGATGAGCTCAAACCACAAACATTTCAGCAAGTAGTTGAGTGCTTAGCTATCCAAACCACCCAGTGACTCCTCAGATGAAGCTTCAATGAGAGAAAAAGAACAGAACTACCAACTTCTGTTAAGAATCTAAACACATGTTGGTGTCTCCTGACCTTCCGAATGCCCCGTGTCCGGTTCCACACGAAGTCGTACCAGTCACACAGGCTGCTCTCCTTCTGGTCCATGATCTGGTTCACCAGGTAGTCCATGGTCCTGTTCAGCACTGCTGAGGGCCGCAGCTCATGTGGCAGGGGCTCCTCCTGATCCGCTGAGGACCGGCTGTACTCCTTTATGGCTGCTGCGTGGTTCACCTGAGCGGTTGGGGTGGAGACACAGCTGCTCATGGACTGATCCTAGTCAGCATGCAGCACAGCCACTCACTAGTTGTTTAAAATGCTTTTCTCCACTGGCACAGCCTACACCAGGCTTAGATCATATAGTACCATTAACAACCTCATCAACACACACTGTTGTTATTGTTGTTAGGTGCCACTGAGTCAAATATGACTCATAGTAACCCTACGAGCAAACAAATGATCTATGATCTGAACCCTGTCCTGTCCTGAGCCATCCTCACCATCTCTGATATACCTGAGCTCATTGCTGCAGTCACTGTGTTAATCTATTTCGATGAAGGTCTTTCTCTCACTGACACTCCACCTTCCAAGCAAGGAATAGCCTCTCCTAGCAACATGTCCAAAATATGAGAGACAAAGCTTTACCATGGTCCTCCAGTCAATTTGTACCGGCAGCACCCAACTATACACAGCACCATACACCTGCCACAGCTATCCGCATATGAATCAGTGGCAGCTGTGTGAGAGGGTACCAGAGACAAGGCTTCACAACAGCCCTCAGGACACGAACCATCAATATTCAAGAATATTCCAGAATGCAGTCTAAAATTTGAGACAACATAAACTGAGAAAGTATTACTGGTAGGCAGGACAAGGAATTAAAGTGAGAGTTGATAAGTCACGATGGAAGAGGAGTGCAGGTGAGGCAACCTATGTGGCTGCAAAGTGCTGAAAGTGACAGTTAAGATTTTTGAATGCTCCACAAGTTTGACAACCCCAATCCCAAGGTCCATCAGCATAAGCCAGAAATTCAATGAAGACTACAGTGAGGACCACGGAGGCGACTTCAGAAAAAAATGGGGTGCTGGCATGTCTGAATAAGGTGACTTCACACCTATTCAAAACTCCACTTATGTTAGGCTAAGATTCAGTCCTCCTTTTCTAAAGAAAATTATCCAGGGCCTTTCCTTCTTAGTAAATTACTATTCAAATTATAAAACTGTAATCTGAATAGTACCATAAAAAACCTAAAAATTAAGAATCAGATTTCTTTAAAGTAGGTAATTGCTTAATGTTTTTTTTTGTTTTTTTAAATACAACACATACAAACTTTATAAGCAAAGAAGTAGAAAAATTTTAAAAATAAATAATTAACATATGACTATATAAAAATATCACTCAAACTCACTCTGTGGAGTTGGTTGTGACACACTACTTAATGCTTTTAAAGGATAATTTAAGTAGTTAATCTTGGTTAGAAAATAGAAATGATAATGTTAACAAAACCCTGAAACAGCAAAGAACTTGATAGTCAAAACAGATACATACATATTCCAAATCTATGCTTTGTCCTCCTTACTCCAAAATTTAATATTTCTGAGTGAGAGTTTTTAATAGTATCTTTGCTGGTTTGCTTTTAAGAAATGTAACTAAATAGGAAGGCAGGTCTCAGCTATAAAGACTTAACTGTTTGAAATACACAGAACTAAAAAATTCAGACCTTATCTTGCAAAATAAATTCGCTATCTTAACTGCTCAATCAATCAGTAGATGAACTGTGTAAGCCATTATCTCTTGACCTTACTCTTCTCAAAGGTCACTTCTTAACCAGATAAAATCTGTTTTCACATTGCAAAGACTCCCAACAGATACATTCTGATCTACAGCCAATCACAAGACCCCCACATCAAAACATCTACATGCATGCTTAAGAAACATTCGTCAAGTTGCCTTAGTCAACTTATCAGAAAATAAGAAATTCATGACAGGTTAGGAATTGGAGTCAAAGAAAGTTTGTGACCTGACAACTCTTTCTAAAATTTCCTTCCTGCCCTTCTTTGATGGAAAACCATTTACTCTTGTTTCCTTTACCATATAAAAACTGCTCCCCTTCCAACAGAAATCACATGTATCTTTTTGCAGGAAACCATGTACCTATGCACCTATGTTTCACAAACATAACAGTTCTGTCAATAAACAAATTTGAAATTAATTTCTCATGAAGTGGTAGCCCAGTGTTTTCACTAAGACAGGATGAATTAAGTCTTTTCATTAAGACAGGATCTAACTAAGTAAAGCAGGGGCCTAGCTGGGCCAGATCAGCTGTCCAAAAGCAGCGTGGGGACTGCATCTCCCCTGTACAAAGAGGCTGGAGATCAGCAGCCCCTGAAATCGGTAAATAAACACCACCAGCAGAGAGAAGTCCAGTTCCCCCGTATGTCATGTCCAGCCCTGGGACACATGCCCCAAAGATGGTATAAAGAAGACTGGTTAATCTCGAGGCCTTACCTGGTCTGTCCCAGGGATCACTTCAAACACACTCAGCTGGCTCCTGGTCTCCCGCATGTACCGCTCCTTCTCAGGACACATATCTGGGCACGTTCCAACAAAAGTCCTTGCTTTGTCCAAATCAGTCCTCTTCACCCGAGCTAGACAGTACCAAGAAGAGCATAAATACCACTGCCAGTCAGCCATTAGACCCTACCTTACCTGACTTTTCATAACAGGAGTAAGAGGAAAACTAAAAACAATGGCATTCACACAAATTACAAAAGACAAGAAAAAAATATCTCTAAAGCACTGGCTTCAGAATAATGGGAGTGGTTTCCACTTCAATGGGTATGGGGTCAGAGAGACCTCAAAGGTTATGTCCTCCCCAAATATGGCTCTCCACTAGCCCCAGAACTCATACAGACTCCAGATGGAGATAGGGTGCCCTCAGTTATAGCCAGAAGCACTAGAGGGTTTCATAAATGCTAAAAAGATCTCCATGATACTGTAGTACATAGGATGTAAAGGGGAGCTCTGATGGCCTAGTGGCAAGAAGCTGCACTGCAATCCCAGAGATATGCAGTTTGAATCCACCAGATGCTCTGCAGGAGAAGGAGGGGCCATCTCCTCCTGTACCAGTCAGATCCAATTTGACGGTACACACACAGAGAAAAAAATAAATAAATAAATAAAATTTTAAAAAAGTAAACATTCAAAGCACATGAGCAAGTATAAAATGGTTTCAGTATCGCATCATTGTTAAATGTAACATACTCACTGCTGTCACCACTTTCTAATGTAATACTTCTTATCCTCACTGCCATGGAGTCAGAGTTGACTCACAGCTTACCCTTCCACAGGGCTTGACATTCTTAAGGCATAAAAAATGCCCAGAATGGAGAATCTCCACACCACTACCTTCAGAGACCAAGCTCCTCTTCCTACAGGCATCACCACCCACGTAAGCAAACATACATAATACACTCACACACACTCTGTACAAACGGCAGTACATTACAAACTTTCAGCACTTTATCTCCTCATCTGCTCATGAAAAAATCCCCATTCTTGTTTAAGACAGGTTAGGATCCCAATATGTGCTTACAAGCAAATCTAACCCAGTCCCCACTGAATGACATCCCAGAGTTTACCACCTTTTCCATCACAAACAGTCCTATATAGAAATTACTTATCATGTGTAACTGTGTCTGCAGGATAAACCTCTGGAAGGAGACGGCCACTGAAAGCCTGGGTTTTCCAGTTTGGCATGTCTGCCCCACCTTCCCGCGGGCAAGCCAGGAGGCTGGATGCTGCTTCCCCAGTGGACTCCAACTTCTTAGTCTCTGAAAATCCTCTCGCCCTATGTGGCTCCTTATGCTTCCTTCTCTGCAACGGTTTTGTGACCTTGTCCGCTTTGCTGTTGTTAGTGATGTACTTCCCATTCTGTGACTGGCTTGTTTTTTCTATGCCAGGGAAACTGTTCTTTGTGCTAAAAGGTAAATTTCTCCTCTGGCCTGATCTCTTTATGAATCTATGGTCACTCTTTCAAATAGAAATTATTTTTTTACATTTGCTTTCTGTCAAGGAAATTGCCTCTTAAATTTATCGTAGATCACTAGCTTATAGTCTTTATTAAAAAATAAAAATAAAAATAAAATTCTAAATATATGCACCATATTCCTGCTTACGCTCACCTGAGACAGACCAGTGAGGCCTGGGCTCCACGTTGCAGCCCGATGACAGAGCAGCCCTGTTGAGAAGAGGTCACTGCCTCCCACAGCTTCCCAGGAGACTATTCCATCACATCAGAGCCAGCAAAAAGGCATGTCTGATCCTAAGCATGTGACACGGTGATGACATTACCTTGCCTCATGATCCTGTCCCTTTGGTTCAGCAAGCGGTACTTTTCCTCAGAGGTCTCAGCCACAGTGCCCACCAGGGGACTGAGGGAAGATATGCAGGGTCCGAGGCCCTCGGAATCCTCAGAGCCAGAATCAAAGGAGTCGCCTTCAAAGTGAGGGGGCTTTAGGATACTAGGCTTCTTCACTGGAGAGCTGTGAAGAGCGAGCACAGGTAAGGGCTTCACGTTGCTGAGGTATTTATTTCCCACCACAGCCACCTTTTCCACTGCCCAATGCTGGTCTGAACTGAGAAACTACTAACTTTGAGATGAAAAGAACTAGGTAAAGCTGGGATGAGCACACAAAAGTATGACATTGTCAACTGTTTTTTTAAATTCTTAAATGCTTCATAATCTTAAACAGTGAAATATACACACTTGAAAAAGTAAAATTATCATAAATAGGTGTTTATCTCAAAGGAAGGAAATTTAGTCTTATGCCCACCTATTTTTTTTGTTTTGTTTTTAAATCGTTTTTTTATTTTATTGTATACTGTTGAACTGGATCCAAATGGCATAGGAAGAGATTGCCCCTCCTTCTCCAGGAGAGCATCGGGTGGATTCGAATTTTGGGGCTGCAGTGCAGCCTCTTTACTACTAGGCCACCAGAGCTCCCTTGCCCACCTATTTTCAATCAGGTAGAATATTCTAGATGGCACTGGTCATTCTGTCTCAGCTTCCCTTTTCCCTTTTATTTGCCTTTTAATATTCTGTGATCCCAAGTGGCAAAGGAGATAGAAGACTAGAGAAAAATAAAAGAAAAACAACTAAAATGCTTATCATAAAATGCACAAAGAAAAACAGTACACTGGCCAAAAGACATGACGAAGGATTCAACAGGAGGCTTGTCATTTAGCCTTCTGTAAATAGGCAGCTTCGGGCCAAAGATCTCAGAAGCCAAGAGGGGAGACTGGTGAGCACTATCAGACAGGACAACTAAGGGAGAAGCAGCTAGCGTGGAAATCATAACAGAGCCAGCCTCTAAGAGACAGAGCTGCCCCACTGAGTGAACACTAACCAACACACTTAGTAGAACAATTACTACAGTCATCAGCCACTGTTGATAGACTTGTATTTTAAACATATGGCATCATGGCAAAATACACAGAAGCTCAAGGTACTCCCACATCCACCCCAGTTAGCTCCCTTGTGCACAGAACTGTAAGAAAGGAGCTCTCAAAATGCAGTCAGTGATGAAGACTTGTTGGGATGAGGGAGAGGAGAGAGGGAAGGCTAGCCCCCGGCCCTAAATGAAAGCCCTCCAGTAACTAGGCCTCGGTAGAAAAATGGAACAAGACAAGCATCAGTGGTTCTCCATCCTCCTCCACGGTCAGTGCGGTATAGAATGAGGAAAAAATCATTTATGCAAATATTTGCGCTCTAAGACCACCAGTGCCATCAACCCAGGTTCAAGCCCCATTATAGCCTTTGTGCGGGCCTAAGAGGGAAGGGGTCAGTCGTTCCTTCTCCCCCCACTATACTACACCCCTGGGTATTGGTTGAGGGAGTAGCTCTGAGGACCTAATCATAGCATTTGTTTGGGGTGAAGCCAACTTGCTCTCTGGAGTCAAGGATTTTGAAGCTCCACGTCACATACTTTGGGCACATTGCCAAGAGGGACCAGTTTTGGAAAAGGACACGATGCTTGGGAGGGTGGAGGGATAGTGGAGGATAGGAAGCCCCCAGATGAAATGGATTCAGTGGACACAGTGACTAGGATAGTGGCAGGTGTGTTGGAAACAGTAAGACAGGCTCAGGATAGGACAGGGTTCAGAGATAGGGTCATTTGGAGCCTCAGGTGACTCATTGGCACATAAGAAGAACAAGAGCATATCATCCTATCCCACCAGCAATCCAAGTTCTCCACTTTTCCTGCCCACATGATCCTCTGCCCTCTCAGGTCTGAGCACACTGTTCTGTGCTCTACCCAAGCTGTGGATATGTCAATGGACAAGAGGCAGGAATCACTTCTCCTTACCCACTTCACTGGGATTAGAAGTCCAGGACCCTTATGCCACACAGACACCCTTGACAACAGGGAGCGTTGGGTCTCACCTTTTACTCAGGCCACTGCTGGCTGCCACCCTGCCCACGGGCTTGCGCAAGGGCGAATGCTGGGAGGGCACGTCTTCTGGGCCCAGCTTCACTTCACCTTCACTTGGCTGCTTCTCTTTGAGGGCAAAGAGTTTCTTGTTAGGACCTAATGACACAGAAGTTAGAGTGCTCAATATTACAGATTACCTTGCATCAGACTTCTAATAAGCTTTTATTTCTAAGAAAGTAACATCCCTGAGATTAAGAAAGACCTCCTCCAAGAAGTCACTATAAAAAACCAAGAATCTCTTCCTGGCATTTGGTAGAAGGGCAAAGGAAGGGATGCTCTTTAGAGGCCCTAGGGCCTACATACAGAATATGCAAAGAATAACTGAAAACTCACTTATTTTCTTCTTATGCCAGAAGATAGCCATGTCTTTATGTAGACCTTTCCCCCTCTTCCTTGCCAGAGCCGCAGATGACTGTAAGACAATGTCACACCATGAGTGAGGGCATCAGGACACCAACGGAAATAAGCATAAACTCACATGCGGTGAGCAGACAGCTCACTCGCTTCTCCTCTGCCTGCTGCTGACAGAATGACAGAAGTTGTTGACAGAATGGTGAACAACAAGACACCATTCTGCCCAACAGAAGCGGACGCTCCATCCCTTCCGCTGGCACAGCACTTCATACAGTCACTGCTGCCTCACCAGACTCACACACGCATCTCTTCTTTCCTTTTTGAAACTAAGCTAACTCACCATGATGAAATCACAGACTCAGCCATCCTGGCATCTGAAAATGATTCCCATCTGACCACACAGACAGAACTAGAAAGCTCTCTAAGTGCATGGGGTTTCATCTATCACAAAACACACAAAACCAACAACACATGACTATCCCTACAGACATGTTTCTAAGACCACACTAAGGGACCACAGAGAAACAGGAGACAGACGCAGTGCTGAGCAGGGTAACATTTCACTGTTTCAATGAGTTTTTTTATAACAACTGTAGTCATACACCAATTAACTAGAAAGAAAAAAAAATTCTAAACTGGAAGAATAAGCATCTTGTAACAGTTTTAAAAAACCCTATACCAAACTTTTTAAAAGATGACGGATTATATTCATCACTAAACACTAAAATTCCCCATGACACAGATAAACACTATCTAGACAGACAAAAGAAAGCTCAGAGACTGAAAACCAGCTGTGTCTCTGCATGTACAAAGCATATATACGGATGGAGCATCAAAAAAGTGCTGCTGAGATCTCTAAATAATGTAACCAGAAAAAATAAAGTAGAAGCCTTATCTCAGGCCATATTAGAAAACAAATCCCATGTACCTTCACTGAGGATTTTAAGCAAAAGGGGACCTAAAAATGGTTAACAATACCTTAAGAATATTTTGGAAGAAAATTATTTTCTCAGACTAAATTATACACCTAAATAAAGCCAAACGTATCAACACTGAGTGTAACTCCAACTTCTAGCAATGCCATAGAACAGAGAAGAACTGGTCCATGGCTACAAATCTCTACGGAAGCAGCCAACTGCATCTATATCCCTTGAAGTGGCTCACTGGATCAATGCATCGACTTCTGAGTTAGCAGGAGAGTAGTGCTTAAACACTGTAATGCCAGGGCACTGTAAATATTAAATATTGGTAGAATGGAAAAAAAGAAAATAAACAATCTGACAGGATTGGAAAAGGCAAAAAATGGTTCAATTGTAGAGCCACCCTTACATTTCTTGTGAACTGGCTGTCCTATGTTATTAAGCTAGCACTCAGCTAAATGAAACGATCAGTGGTTCAAACCTACCAGCAGTCTGCCAGGACAAAGATGTGGCAGTCTGCTTTCATAAAGACTACAGACAGCCTCAGACTGTAACAATGGACTTCAGTAAGTATGGAGGAGATTATGAGGATGGTAGACGACGGGCCAAGGTGGGGTGGTTCCCCCCCCACCTTATCTATTTTATTGAGATATTAATCTCATCATACATGGTCTAAGAGTACACAAATCATAAATGAAGTATAATCAGATGCATTCAAATATCGCAGTCAATGATGTCATGCTTTCCTGTGTTCTTACTGATATAAAACCACATCCATACCTCAGGGACCACCAAACTATTCAGCAGAGCTTCCTTAACTGAGAGCTGTTTGAAATGACCAGTTTGAGCACTACTGTTTTTTCAGGCTCTGAATAGCTGTAGGGATCTCAGGAAGGATTGGAGGAGCCAGCTCCATCTTGGCATAGTGCCAAAACATGGCCACTGGAGGCTTCGAGCAAGTCACAGCAGTGTTTACCATTGTCAGGGCCTCCTCCACCAAGTTATGGACAAACTGGACCACGGGTCTAGGACTCCAAGTCTGACATGGGGCAAGGTTTTGATCTGTTATTCATAAGGTCACTATGAGTTGTAGTTTCAACAGCACCTAACAATGACAACAGCCTTGAAAATCCTATCTGGTAGATCTACTCTGCCTCCCAGGGTCACCGTGAACTGAAACTAGTTTAATGGCAATGAGGTTTGGGTGAATTTTCTGAACACTGAGTCCTGGCAAGGATCCTGAGCTTTTGACAAATGACTCTAAGTTATCACATAAACAACAAGATATTCAAATACATTCTCTATATTCTCGCAAGCAAATAACTGACACCCATCAGCACCATGTCAATTTTAATTCCTAACATCCCTAAGAACAACAACTGTTCTTAAGGTCTCCAAGACTGTAATCTTATTAAAGCCTCTTTCTCCCTCATATCACCAATTCTGTGGTTAACAGTTCCACACATAATCACTGTGCCACCACGGCTCCTGATAGATGATGTTATGGACTGAATTCTCTCCCAAAAATGTGTCAACTTGGCTGAGCCGTCATTCTCAATGGACTGGCAGTTATAATGTAATTACTTTTGTTGTTGTTGTTATATACCATCAAGCCACGTGAGACTCACAGCGACCCTATGCACAACAGCTCTGAAGATTGCACTATCCTGAGCCAGTCTCACTGACTCAGTAACTGTTACATAATTACATAATCATCACCCAAGATGTGCTCTGACATAATCAGCCAAACTGATATGATAAAGAGGGATTGGGAGGGGATGCAATCTACTCAGGCCACAGCTCTGGTCAGCTGTGAGGGAATTAGGGTGTTGTTATCAAGTCCTTTATCAAGTGGATCCCTACACATAACTAAGCCAGAGGATTTCCAAATGCATCACCACTGCACCATTAAGGACCCTTAGGACTGAATGGAATCCAATAAAAAAGGACTCTCCTTGGTGTGTGACTTACTTAGGCAAAAAAAAAAAGAGGCAAAAGGAGAGAAAAATGAGCAGGAAGAGTGGAACCATGCATGGCCAAGCAAGAGCCAACAGTGGAGCACATCCTTTGGACTCACAGTCCCCTAGACCCAGGGGAAGATAAATGCCGTTACTCCTGAAGACCTCCAAGGGATGCCAAGCCCACAGAAGCTGAAAGGATATAAAGCAAGCAAGACATGCCCTAGGGCTGGCATCCTGAACTCGGACCCCCAGCCTCCTAAATAAACTGTGAAATAATTGTGACAGCCATCTACTTGGAATACTTCCGTCACAGCTGCACTAGATAAAAAGAAACTGACAGGATTTAAAAAAAAGTTTAATTATGACAAAGCTTACATCTACGGTAACACAAGTCAAGTTGGGGGTACTTACGTGATCAAAAAAGTATACCACAGCAAGCTTTTTGCTGCGCCTAGTGTAGACGCGCTGCACTTTGGCTATTTTGTTAAAGTAGTTCTCCAGGATGGTTCTGTCATTGAGATAATCAGGGATGTTCTTGCACTGGATGGCTGTTAATTCTGCAGAGGGCAAGCCCCCAAGATTGTTGGCACTTTCACTTCTTTTACTTGGACGCACAGGAGTTCCTCTTAGAGGATCTAGGGGATCAGAAAATATCAGATGCAAAGTTGTCAATCCACAGGAGCCAAAAACTGCAAAAATAAGCCACTTTCACGGGCTTAAAATGTGCTGTATTTCCCATAAGACATCAGAATGCCTAACATGTCCAAGGAAACTGATTAATCTGTCAGCAAGAAACTTTCTGTGCTCTACTTTTTAAGAGCTCACCTTCTTTCTTCTCTCTCTCCACTTCTTCATCTTTCTTCACACCAGAAAGCCAGGAAAGCGCCAAGACAGACTGACTCCCACCTGGCACAGCCATGTGTTCACTGTCCTCAGACTCGACACAGCTTGTTTCCTTTTTCGGTTCCTTGGTGCCCTGGCGGCTTATCTCTTTATTGCTCTTCAAGACATCCTGTAAGGTCCGATCAAAGAGGGTGCCTCCCCGAGGTCGGTTCAGGCGGACTGGCCGCTTCTCTGGAAGGTGGTCGCCCCGGGACAGAGGGTCCGAGTCTTCCCCTGTATCCCGGTCATGTCTCCTTGGGGAGCGATCCTGGTCCTCTTTCCTTTTCAGCCCTTTCATGAGACCAGGAATAGGGTCCATCTGGGAGACAGTTTCCTCGCATCCTTGTCTGACACTGGTTTTGCCTCCTGAGAAGGGGTCACTCAAAGACCCTGATGATACAGCGAAGCTAGTGAAGCTGCTATTTGAGCTTCCAAACAGTGATTTAGGAGCTCTCTTCTCTTCATCAACATTTTGGTTCGACAAAGCAGGCGCAAAGGCAGATGATGATGCATTATTACTAGTAACTGGTTTCGAAAAGATGAAATTTGAATTGTTAGGTGAGCTACTTGTCACCTGAGGAAAAGAAAAAGGGGCTAGTCCTCCAGATCCACTACTAATTGGGCGGGAAAATGTAAAAAATCCTGAAGAAATTTGGCTCTGAGTTTTTTCTGGTTCAGATTCAGCCCCTAGTATTGGTCTGAACACTGCATTTTCCAGAGGCTTAAAGCTGAATTCTGTTTTTCCCAAGCCAGAGCTTGCTCTTTCTCCAGCTTCTGGTCCAAAATGAGAACCACTCGGAAAAACTCCAAGATTGGGGGGTGATTTAAAACTAAATCCTGGGTTTCCAGCCACAGATGAACTTGAAGACGCAGTGGTAGATGCAAAGGTTGAAGTGTGATCAAGTCCAGAAAAGACGCCAACATTTGAAGTTTGAGAAAATCCTAATGTTTGTGCTGAAGAGGAATGAGTTACTCCTGAAGATACTGGAAAGCTGGATACTTGTGAAAATCCTGAGCTCTGTCCAGTGTTGTTTTGTCCAAAAAGAGAAGGTTGACCAAATCTGAATGATGGCTTAGCATTAAACACTCCTAAGGAATTACTAGAAGATGCTGAAAACACACCAGACTGCTGCTGTCCGCTGAAAGGATTAGAAGGGTTCATTTTCTGATCCAATTATTTAAAATTAATAGCTAGTGTGTGCACAAAATTTGTCCTCTTCTTTAAGTGGTCTGTTGAGTTGGGGAGCTTCTTTTCATCTTCAAAGTAAGCTGAAAGATAAAAATTCATTTTATCATCCACCACAGCCATGTTCTCTGTTTGAAGACTGAAACAGAAAGAAACCAGCTGGCATACACTATGAATAATTCATTAGAATAAAGGTAAAGGAAAGAGCTGAGCACTCTTCTGTGAGGCAGTGGATGTTGTTTTTTTTGAGGGCAGGGTTAAAATAAACTGTCAGTGCTGAAGTTTAAAGTGGGATCCATTAGGATTTTTTAGTTTAAATACTTTTACCGAATTCGTAAATTTCAATTTACAAACAACCTCAAACAATAATGACAATATGATTGCCACTACCCTTTCCAAGGTAAAGGCAGGGGTTCTCCTTCTTCCCAACCGCCAAAATCTAAAAATTACAATGTAACATTATTAGAACATTACTGTTTCAGTATTTCCTTCTACGTACTTTCTCTCTATATAGCTAGAACACAATTCTTTTCTCAGGAACGGAACTATTTTGGGTGAGATTTTTCATTGTCAAAGTTTCGTCTTGGTTTTGTTTTTTTCTTAATACCCTGGAGATCACACTGGGAAGAGGTTGCTCAGCGGAGATGCTGGCTCTAGGTTGGAAGGGCTGGTAAATGGGAGGGGCACTCTTACCAAACAGGTCCCCCCCAAATCGCCACAAGTCGAGGCCGCGCCCCGATCCCGGCTCCCCGATCAGAACTCCGTTGCCCAGTCTTGCTGCGACCGTTCACAGCCCCGCCCGCTCCGTTAGCAACGAAGGCGGGGGCGGAAGCTGGGCCCGCAGCGGCCCGATTCTCCTCCGGCGCGGAGCTCACAATCAGGATGCAGGGACCCGATGTCTCCGCTCCGGCGCCGACCAAGCGCAAGCGCATGCGCAAGGAGGGGGTGCGGCCGCCGGAGCCGTCGCTTCCCTCTGTGGGGCGGGCAGAAAATGCTGCGGACTAACTTCCGGTCCGTTCTGTTCCTGGTCCGCCGCGCTCCTGTTACCTCTTCGAAGCGGCCGAGACGACTTCTGATGGAACTGGCTTAGCTTCCTCTGCTTGCCTGCCTGCTGCCTCTGCCTGGCCTAGGGGTCCCGACCTTGAGACGCTGGTACGAGCGTGAGCGGTTCTTGTCCTCAGATTGCCGGCAGAACCTGCGCTCCACGTTGTGCCTTGGGGGGGAGAGGGGGGTCAGAACTCAACCGAATCCTCCCTTCCTCGACCTTTATCACCTCTTTCCTCCCCCTATCTCCCTGTTGTCTCCTCTCCTGCACCATCAGACTCATCCCCAGTCCAATCCCCTTTTATACCATCGTTTTTTCAAACTGCGAATTAACGTGACATCCTAAAGAATTCTACCAAATAAAGTGATCTATGTGTGCATGTGTTTACAGAATTTATTACCACTTTCGGGTACTAATTCGCCCTCTTTTAAACTTTTGACTGCAGATCTCTTCCCAAACGATTTTCTTGGCGCTGGTAGTACTTGAGATGAGTTTGGTACTTAGAAATCTACAGTGCGTCGTCCCCATTAGGAGAGTCCCGCTGCGCAAGAAGATTGAGATTTTGAGAAGCGTATTAGGAGTGCAGAAGTTTGACCTGGGAGTCATCTGTGTTGACAACAAGCATATTCAGCACATTAATAGAATCTACAGAAAGAAAAATGTTCCAACTGATGTGCTTTCGTTTCCATTTCATGAGGTAAAAAATACTTCACTCTTGTCTAACTTACCTTCTAGAGTAAATTTTTAAACATGAATGGTATTTTGCATTACAATTTTTTAAACTCAAGAAGATTTTAAGGTAATGGGTGTGATTTTTAATTCTGAAATCATTCCAGTTCGTACAAAAGTAAAGAGAACAGTATGCGCAACCCCACTCATCAGTGCGAATTCCCAGAAGAAACATTTCAGCTCATGGAGGAAGGAAAAGGAAAGGTGATTGAAAGTTCATGGAGTTTCCAGAGGCTGGTTGTTTAGGAAGTGGATGCCACTCCTGCTTCCAAGCTCTTAGGTTTAGGTAGTGTTATAAAGTGATTTGAAGTTTGTATAACATGATTCAGCAAGTCTGAACAGAAAACAAATTATTGAAGTGATCATATGGGAATTTAAAGTCTTGAATATGTCTATGGATTGAAAAATCGGAGTACTGAAAAGAAAATAGGCTGGGGTAAGTATTTCCAATAAATAAGGTGTGAAAGCTACCAGATTCTTACTGTGTGTCTATCAAGTCAATTACAAGTCATTTAATGTTAGTGACTTAATGTTAACATCAGCCAAGGCCTCACATGTTGTTAGCAGCAGCATAAATGGGAGCAACTTTTTGAAATCAGAGAAAATTTTTTTGAAAGTTTAAAAGCAATATACTTAATATGTTTAAATATGCATTTAAAACATGTTTAGTGAGAGAAGAAGGCTTGGATAGGGTGGGTAGAAAATGTGGACCAAAACTTAATGATGACTAGATGGTCTGATAGAGACTGGTGGAACCCCCAAGTCTATGGCCCTTAGTTGCCTGCAAACCTAGACCAAAACTCATCCCTGTGTCTGAGCTTTCAGAGTAACAATAGCCAGAGTAATAAGGTGAATATTAGAGAGGCACTTTTTCCTTAAAACAAACAACCATACAAGGTCAGAGAAACTTAGGAAGGCAGGAGGGGATAAAATAGGATTGATGGAGACAAGAATCCTTGAGGAAGAGGGAAAAGTATAGTTGCATTGGGTATTGTCATTAGTGTAATGTAGTTGAATGGAATACAAATTTCCTAAGTTGTCACACAAATGATAATTTTAAAAATTAATTTATATATACACAGAGAGAGAGACCTATGAGAGCTGGAATTTGACAGAATTGATTTGTTTTTCTGGTTCTCCAAAGTTTTCTGCTGTAACTTGTGACTTCTACAAATTTTACTGTTTTATACACTTTAAGCCACTAGCATCACACTTCCAAAAATGAAAGAATAAAGAACACAAATGTGTGAAAATATTCTGTTGTTTTTCTGTAATAAGAAGAAAAAAAAAAGTAAGCATCCTAAGTACCTATACGTAGAAACAAACTAAACCTGGATGACTGGCTTAGTATGTCTTCCCAGCAGAATGTGATAGTCTTCATGAAGATTTGTTCTGAGGCCAAAATAGCAGGCAGAAGAAACAAAAATACTTCATTGAGTTGATGTGATGTTCTAGCTCTACAAAAGTTGTGAATCTATATAGTTCCACACTGGGGAGGATAACCAATGCAAAGTATTTCTTTGATGAGGCAGAAACATCTTAAGCTGCCGTGTGTCATTCATGGTCAGTGGCTAGGTTGCATTCCATCATCTATAGACCCTTATTTGTACTCTACCTTCGGGACAGCAAACTGTGCAACTCAAAAGAATTCATTCACCTGTCATCAGCTTCTAAGGAGGCAGGGTTTTCCCAAATGAAATCTGTCAGCCTGTGGTTAAGCTAGTGATGTTACTGATGTGCTGTTCTCTAAGTCTGTACTTCTTCATATTCAGAAACTGAAAGCAGGTGACATTCCCCAGCCTGACTTTCCAGATGACTATAACCTAGGAGACATCTTCCTCGGAGTGGAGTATATCTTCCAGCAATGCAAAGAAAATGAAGAAGACTACTATGACATCCTGACTGTAAGTGGGATGCTAACCCGATCTGTTTTGGATAGTGAAGTGGACGCTGATGTCTGTATACACAGTGGTCGCCACACCAGCATCCACGTGTTCTCATGGGGTGCAGGTGCAAAACAAGGATTGTTGGGGGAGAATGAACAGAAGAGGGCAGCAGTCATGCAGCCCACTTCCTTCACTCATGGAAAGAGGAAAGGACCCAAGCTGGACATACAGCGGGAAGTCACTCCTGAAGGGCATGCTGCTTGTCACATTGTTTGTTGAGGCTTTTTTAAATATTACTTTGACAGGTGACAGTCACCCATGGGCTCTGCCATCTGCTGGGATTTACACATGACACAGAAGCCAACTGGCTAAAGGTACAGTCTAGACTTTTCCTCCTGACCCTAACCATGACCTCCTGGCTGCCTCCTGCATTCCCTAGTTTCTACACCTCCAGACTTGGCAGCTTAAGGAAAAGCACCTGTCATAAACACTCACACACTCCTTGCCGTTGAGTCATTGACTCACAGCTGACCCTCCGGCAGGTTTTCAAAGGCTATATATTACGTACATAGGTACCAATTGGCAGCATCAGGATGGATGGTGAAGAGATTGAGATTGTACACAGCTTTAGTTTGCTTGGCTCCATAGTCAACAGTCTTGGCACCAGCAGCCAGGAAATTAAAAGGTGCATTGCCATGGGAAAGTCTGCTGTTAGGGACCTCTCCAAAGTGCTGAAGAGCAGTGGTGTCTCTCTGGAGACTAAGGTGCGTCTGATACAGGCCATGGTCTTCGCAATCACCTGTTATACATCAGAGAGTTGGACAATGACCAAGGAGGATAGAAGGAGAATTGATGCCTTTGAGCTGTGGTGCTGGAGAAGAGTATTGAGAATACCATGGACTGCTAGGAAAACAAACAGGTTTGTCCTGGAGAGGGTTAAACCGGGTGGCTCCTTGGAGGCAAGGATTCTGAGGCTCCATCTAACATACTTTGGACATGTTGTGAGGAGAGACCGGTCCTTGGAGAGGGACATCATGCTTGGGAGGTGGATGGACAGCGCAGGAGAGGAAGGCCCCGTATGAGGTGGATTGATTCAGTCAGTGACTGGAATAATTGGGATGGGAGTGTCAGAGACAGTGCGATTGGCACAGGACAGAGCAGAGTTTAGGGCTGTTGTACATAGGGTCGCTATGAGTCGCAGGCGACTCGACGGCACATAACAACAACAACAACAACAACATATATTATGTAGGAGGAGAATGCCTATCTTTCTCCCTTGGAGTAGCTCATGGATTCACACCACCTGCCTCTGGATTGACAATGCAACTACTAACTAGGCTACCAGAGGCTCAAGATTTTCCCTCCAGGAAGGCCAGGCCCTTGGAGACCCCAATGATTCCTGGTTTCTCATCTTTTCCCTGCTCTTCTCTCGTGAACCCCAAGCTAGACAAATATCCTCTTTCTTCAAGGGGCACTTTCTTTCCACAAATAGGTTCTTTTCATACACTCAGCGCCTACAAATCTGATCCACCTCTGCAAACTCCCTTTCCCACCCTAGGTAAGCCAGCCTACCACCACATCTCCTCCCTGTTTCCCTTCTTCTCACTATGCACAAATGAACCTTTCGAGGACTAGACTTCCTACTCTCCCAGTGCTGCTGTAACAAATATCACAAGTTGGTATTCTCAAAAAAATCAATTTCTTTTTTCAAGTTCTAGAGGTCTAAATTCAAAGTGTGACTGGAGAGGCGCCATCTTCATCGATTGCAGCTCCAGTAGCTACTGCTGTCCTTGGCATTCCTGGTTTTGTAGCTGCATTTTGCACTCCAAAGATGTTCAGTCTTCCTCTTCACCCTGTGTGTCTGTCTGTTATGGTCTTACTATAACTCAGAAGGGTTTACAGTCTACCCCACTAAAGTAGAACCTCACTAGCATCACAAAAGAAACCTTAATCACAACAGGATCCACAAGTACAGGAGCCTTCAATTCAAAACATCTTTTGGGAGAGATGTAATCAGTCCCTGTGAGGGACCAAGCCAGTGATGCCTGGTTAGGGGAGAGAGTGGGATCCTCCTGGGGCTGATGCCTGAAGGAGGGCATGGACCATGGCAGGTGACCCCTTAAGAAGCACTGCAGCAGCGTTCTACTTCTCTTGCAGATGTTCCAGAAGGAGAAGCAGATCCTGGACGAGCTAAACCAACATATGGGGACCAGGCTGCAGCCCCTGAGCAGGGGCCTCTTCTGATATTGACCGTGCAGGGAGAGGCTGCCAGGGTCCAGAGGATCCAACAGGGACAGGGAGAGGGACAGGCAGGTGGAGGTGAACCCTCCCCCTTGGGCCTACCAGGGAGCTCTTGAGATTTCTAGTATTTTCTTAGGCCACTTTGCGGCTGGGTAAGTTGGGGTTAAATCCCTACTGGAACTTGACTACTAAAGTAAGTGAGGTTTGTTTAGTGTCATTGTAATGAGATTGTTTAGAACTGAGAGATGGAGCATATAAATACCTTCCTCTTCTTTGGGTCCTTGTCCAGGGCTCAGGTGTCTGACACTTAGGTGTTTCCCCCTTCCGCCTTGTAACCAGCCCTCCTTTCTCGCCTCCCTATTATCCACCATGACTCCCAAACCTACCTATCCAGGTTGTGGCCTCTCTCCCTGATGAACAGGATCTTGACCTTTGTCCCAGAGCAGGAATCTGCCCATCTTCCTTCCTGTCACCTCCTGTAGGCTCTGCCCAATCCCAACAAGGGAACATGGCCCCAGGGTGAAGAAAATGCTAATGATGCAGCAGTTGAGGTCAGAGAGTAGCTCTTTATCCAGTTTAGGATTCCTGAGACTCACCCTTAAGTGTACTCATCCATGGGGCAGGGAGTACTGAGCCCACCCAGACGGTTTAGCAGTTCCTGCCCTAAAAGAGAGCAAGCCTCCCACCCAACACATAGGGAGCAGTTTTCAGTCCTGCCTCTCTGCAGGAAGCCTCTTTCTTTCTGGGCTTATGCTATTAACAATAAGGACAGTCTGGGCTTTTGTTAGTAACAATAACGGTAGAGGTGGACCATTCATGCTCCTTTACTCACTCAGGAAGGGCCTTTGCTCCCAGGGAATTTCCTCAGGTCCATGTAGCCCTTGGGACCCTGGCCTTTTCCAAAAAGTCACTATCTGTCTCAGGATTTGGATGATGAAGGACCCCCGAACCGCTGGTCCTGTTCTGTCCCGAGTGGACAGCGAAGACCCAAGACTCCAAGACACCGGCTTGATGCAACAGCAAGAGATAAGAGGTTTATTGCGGAGCTCCAGGCCGACTCT